CATCATCGTCATGATCATCATCACCACGATCATCATCATTATTGTCATTATCATCATCATTGTCATCATCATCATTATCATCATCATCACCATGATCATCATCACCATCATCCTCATCATCTTCACTGTCATCATCATCATTATCATCATCATCCCCATGATCATCATCACCATGACCATCATCATCATCATTGTCATCATCAGCCTCCTCGATCATTGTGTTACGGATTCGTTTGAAATCGTCTCGCCTGATCCTCTTAATAGAGGTTCAGACGGGAAGTTTCAATGGGAGTGTCTGCCTGCTGGTCGGTCTGTTTGTCTGTCTAGGTGTCTGTTACTTTTTCTATTTCTCTGTACGCTTGTTCACTTGTTTGTTTGTGTTGTGTCAGTCTGTTTGCTAGTTCTCTGATCTGTTAGTCCGTCTGTCAGTCGTCTGTCTGCATCCTCCCATTGTCTGCTTGTTGATTGAAAGCGCGTCTTTAATGACTTTTTATTGCGTTTAATGACATTTTATTGCTGCTTTATACACATATATTACTCTCTCTATATATGCATGTATATATATATATAGTATAGGCATATGTGTGTATATATATAAATATATGTATATATTGTTGTACGTAGTGATTGAATGAAACAATATTGAATGTTAGGAAGAGTAGACTGTCAATGCAAAAATATGTCTCCTACATAGAAAGACCAGAAATCAGGCCATGAAACATGCTGCCTTTATAATTCTTCTCCATATTTATCGTACTAACGTAACGATGCTACGCTGTTTTGAATCATGCTGACTTCATGCTAATGTAAAAAAAATCAATCTCTGCATGTAATCATCAGAAAACGAAAACAATTTACAATTTAATAAATTGTTTATTTTTAATGGGAATGTGGTTTCCAATTTTTTAAAATAGTAAAAATCAGTTTTATCGAAGTCATCACAAACACAAAAATGATCAATTGACACATCATTCTATGGATTGACAAATCATTCTACAGGTAAGGAACTGAATTAATTCAACCAGTGACGTATTCAGAAATTTGTCGGTTGCTTGGCTATTTATGAAACGTTGACAATCAATTTCTTACTCATGTACTCAATGCTATATAAGATTTAAGATTTTTTTTCAAGTTGTGCAACTACGTGGAGTGCTGCAACAATTTGAAATCAAAAACTATTTTTATACCATCCCAAATAAGAGTACATTGTTGGTGGGCCGCACTACCGAAGCCGTCCAAATCATTCCCCTCTGGGCACAGCCCTGACGAGATGACAGACATAGCTATCGAACAATTCTGTAAAACTTGTGCATCACTGATGGTGGGTTGATCTGTTTGTTGCGCGTGTGTCAGTCTATGATTTATAATTGAAAAAAAATCAGTTGCTCAGAGATCTGATTTGCTTCTAATCATTAAGTTGGATTTGTGCATTCCACAATTTAAAAATTTAATAATTAACTTAATATTGCGAAACGTTTAACAAAAAATTTCAGCACAAGTTAATGTAAATCTGCAAATAATTTTGTGGTTCCGCTGAAATTGATAACATTTTGTTGAACGATGTGAGGGTATAATGCAACCTTGCATTTTCAACAGGATGCTGCCACTTCGTTCGTTTTCAATGCACACAACTTGCACGCCTTTCAATTAACAAGTTCGAAAATTTTTAATAATGTTCATCGTCTTGGAAAGTTATGTAGACTTGTACTTGATTATTACGTATCAAATGTGAGAACTTCATTACAATTTTTCACAGAATATTTTAATCAGTTTCAACAGTTTTTTTAAAATAATTCCAATTAATAAGTTGTGTTGGTTTCAAACCAAATCAAACCCGCCAAGCAAACTCTTTTTATCCAACCACGTCAACATAACTTAACTCATAATTCATCAATGAACATTGCCATTGTGACCATTGAGTTGAACATTTGGTGAACATTGAATGAACACTGAGTGAACATTAAGTGAACATTCGGTGAACATTGGATAAACATTGAAAAAAGATTTGGAAAACATTGCTATTTCGAACCTTGCTTACGTATTTCGAATGTTTTGTTCCTACTTATTCATATGTATGTATCGGTGCGGTTATGGATGAAACTGTGGTTCTTGGTTAGATTTAGATCTAGATTTCCAATTAAAAATATTATCGACTGGCCTGCACAAAACCTGTGTGTACGCTGATGGGAAGCAGAGTGCATACAAATTGCGTGACTGATGTTCGAAAGTGTTCAATTTCCGCTTTCCAATTTACTTAGTTCGGTCGGATGACACTTTGAAAATTAAATTAATCAGTTTGAAAAGGAAACTTCTATCAAATTGTTTACAAAAACATCCTAGTTCTGGCAGGTAATTATTCTCCACTCGTGAAGATCGTCCAATTAAAACAAGCGAAGCACTTATGTTTTGCAGAAAAAGCAATTTTCTTTCAATTCAATCAAAATATTCTGCACCAGAAACAACGAAATGACTTGAGCGGAACGATCTGTACCTACATGCGAGATGAGGACTCCTTGAACGACCCATCTTCATTACTCAACTGCAATTCCTAACAGGAACTTTAACAAGCGCACTGAAGAAACATTAAAAAATACAAAAGAAAAAACATTTAATTTGGTTCGCGCAATTTTGGGCGATAGAAGTTTCTCTCGATGCTGAGCTGATCAGTGCATGCTTTTAATGTTGTCGAATCTTGATGTTTGTATGATATGTTGATTGTTTGCTTTGTTGGTTGGTTGAGTGGTTGGTTGGTTGATTGGATGGTCAGTTGGTTGGTTGGCTGGTTGGTAGGGTGGTTGGTTGATTGGATGGTCGGTTGGCTGGTTGGTTGGCTGGTTGGTTGGTTGATTGGTTGGTTGATTGATTGGTTGATTGGTTAGTTTGTTGATTGGTTGGTTGATTGGTTAGTTTGTTGATTGGTTGGTTGGTTAGTTGGCCATTGTTTGTTTGTTGGCTAGTTGTTAGTAGATTTTTGCAATTTTTTATTGTTGTTTCACCATTAAGTTTTCATACAACACAAAAAACCGAACAAGTATTAGTTTTAAAAAATCTTATTCTAGCTTCGAATTCATAAAATAAAGCAACCAAAATCATTCATCATCAATTATTATATTATAGGAATAACTTTAAACCTATAATGCACAAAAGTGAAAATAAACTTCGTAAATATAATTTTTTCCCAGAATAAGCAATGAAATTTGAATTAAAAATACAAATTTTTTTAAGAAAATATTGATGAGAAGTTATTTCCTACCTTCGAGTGCGCCAGCGCCATCCATGGTCACGCAGTTCAACCGAGGCCAGCCAATAATGGGGCTGTTATATTTATTAATATTACTTGATTTTTCTTATTTGAAGTTCTTGTTGAAGTTTTGGTGATGGTTCTATTAATAAGACGTATTTTTCAATGGATTTTTGCAGGTTTTGAAAACTTTGCTGTGTTGTTGCTGGTACAACCTTGTTAATGTTTCAGTTGTTGTTGTGTTGATGTTAACTAATTCAATTAGTATAGGTGTTAACCATCAAATGTTTCAATTATTGAAAATGTTGTTGAACTGTTCACAAATAAAAATAAAGAAAATGTTTTACTCTTGAATTTGTGATCACAACTCCAATTTGTCAACTTTGTTCCACTCAAAATAAGCAACATTTCAAAATGAAATAAATGTCGATATGATGTTGGATGTAACAAGAGTTCTATCAACTCAACAGTCTCGCTTGTATGGACATTCTTCAAAATCTGAAAGCACCATGATGGATTTTAACTTCCAAAAATCTTAAAATTGTTTCAATTTGTTAAGAAAATTGTAGAATTATTTGAAGAACGTTATTTGACGCGTCGTACCTGATAAACTTACGTTTGCATGTTACTGTACGAAGATGGCTGTTGTTGTTGTGACCAGCTAGTTGGATAATTTAAATTTTGAACCTAAGGTCACATTTACACCTATTCTGAGATTGTCGATAATTTAACTAAATAAATGACAGGTTCTGTTATCTTTGTTAAATCTTACAATGGATTATTCTATTTAAACATTAATCCGAGTTTGCAACAGTTCAGACGAATTTTATCCCAAACATTTCATTTGTTCCCAGAATGTTGATGTTGTTACATTGTCTTGTTGTTTCCGCAATAGTGTTCGGCATTAGTTTCCACAGCAATTTAACGTTATTCAGTCTCAGTGTCTACATCTAGACAGACTTCTGCCGACCAAGCAACAACAAACAGACAAACAACAACAAACAGTACGATATTGCGAACGAATGTTCACGAAAGTTCACGAGGTCCGTTCATATGCAGTCCACAACAAACATTAGCACATGTCAGCAACATTTGATCGTATTTGCGCTCAGATAAACCAACTCTCCATCTATGTATGTCCTACATTGGAATGTATACATTTGCATACATTTTATATCATCCGTACCCATATATGTACTACTTTTATGTATTTATAATGCGCGTCGAACGAACATATTTAACACATTAATTGGGTATGCAGAGCTCGACTAAATGTTTACATGTGTTCATTTTCATGCAAGTACCACTTGAAAGACTTTTAATTTATTCAATCGAATCATTCACTCACACGAGTGAGCTGTTAACCTCATAATTGAACGCTAACTGAGAATGTTCCCACGAGAAAATTCATGTCCTCACCCATTTGTAACATGAAGTGTAAAATATTTAAGAAATATAAGCGGGTAAATTTATAGCAATAACAAATCAATTAAACAATTCAATCAGATGAAACTACATCAAAACGTTGCGAAAGTTTTTCCGCGTTTCTCCTCCAACAAATCCAACGCAGCGGAAAGAAATTGAAGACACGGCTCTGAGGGCACCCAACAATTATTTGATTTCAGTTAATGAGACCAGGACTAGTTATTATTACCTGCTTGTCTACATTTCATCATTCATGTTTTGGTGAACAACAATTTCAGCTGAAAATATTTTCAACGTGTTGTCATCCAGACCTATTAAGCTGCTCCAAGTGATATTTTTCATATGATTATGAATTAATCTGTTGTTTGTAAAATAGGTTACATGTTATCAAATGTTCTTGTTCACACTGACTGAAGAAACTTCGACACGGACATCCTCCCAATCGGCGGTTGCCATTTTAGCAATCCACCCATGCGATCCGTCTGACTTGCAGAACTTAACGTATTTTACAAACTTATTTCATTTATAGTCAGCTTACCATAACGTTAACTAAAAACTTTTTGAAAACTTTGTTAAAAATATTTTATAAATTTAACAAAACTTTTTTCTAGAATTAAATTATCAAATACCATAATGAAAGACTCGTGACGGCATTTAATGTTTTTTTTTGCGCGTTGGATAACAAGTTCCACTTCACACCATGTAGATCCTCACGATGTGGCCCCGACAGCACCAACAAACATGACCAACCCAACCAGAGAAACCCACAACTGACAGCACATTCCAAACCAGACTGGAGCGTTAAGCGTAGGCGCGAACATAAAATGTCTCATTTCGAATTAGCGGTTAAATTTATTCCAACGCGTCCGCTGCCATTTTAAAACAACGCCAAATATTTTTTCTTTCATGGTGAATAAACATGGTTCACTTAGAAAAATATTACATCATAAAATTATTTATAATATCTCCAATGAACTGATGTTGATGCTTGATATAATCATTTCTGTTTCAATTCGATGTTAACTAGAAAAGTTTTATAAATTCTAAATATTATCTTAATATTTTTTTCAAGCACACCGTATTTGTATAAAGTTTCTTTGTGTATGTGAGAGTATGTATGCTTTTGTGTGTGTGTGTGTATGTGTGTGTGTGCGTGCGTTCATTTGTGTGTATATGAGTGGGCATGTATGCGTGTATGTGTGGTGTGTGTGAGATTGTATGAACAGCTGTATATATACGTGGATGCATGTATGGGTTCATGTTTTTTGTTCATCAGCGTTTGTTTACAAACTAAAAATAAACAAGGATTAAATTCATTCCGACTCGACTCCGATGGACAGGCACGCACCCCACACAGGCACTGTACACACACACACACACACACACACACACACACGCACGCACGCACGCACACACACACACATGCACACACAATCACACCCACATGCATACACGTTGACAGATTAAATATTTAAATATAACGAAAAATAAATCCTAGCGTTTTCAATCCGGCTTAATGAATAAAAAACCATTCTCACTTGAATACAATGCTGTGTAGATTTGTACAAGTTGTTTACGTGCGTTTGTATCATACATTTATTCTGTTGGTTGGTGTTCGGCTGTGTTATAGGTTTGGTTGATGTGTGCATGTTTATTCATTTTGGGGAATGCTTTTACATGTGCCTATGTAAATTCCTTTTTTTTAAGAAAATAAAATTTTATTAGTCAATAAGACACAGCGCCGACTTTAAAAACAAATCTAAAATCGTCAAGTAAACATGAAGAATGCATTTAATATTATTTTTCGGTTAAAGTCTGTCAATTTTTTTTGGTGAAAGTCATTATTTTTCCAACATTTGTTATTAATTAGAAGACGTGGAAGGGAGGTGCATCTTACAGCTAGTAAAAGTACCTGAACAACGCTTTATTTTTATTATTAAATGGGTAATTATATAGTGTCTTTTAAATTAATATTTTATAGGCAGCCTTAAGTAGTAACTGTTGTCCAACAAATCAAAATCAAGAACAAACTAATCAATTAATCAGTGATAATATTGCACTAAAATATTTTGTATTGCCTCAGAATTAGCATAACATGACATAATACAACACAACACAATTTAACGTAACACAACACAACTTAACCTAGCATAACACAACACAACATAACATCACATATTATAACATCACATCACATATTATAAGTATAACATCACACAGCACAACGCAGCAAATAAAACAGTGGTTCGGAAGGCGTCTCTGCGTAGAAGTACTTTTCCATTTTGATAAATAAATAAAATACGAAATCTCAATAGACCGAGTCCTAGCTAGAAAGCTTGGGTTGTAGAAGCTTCAATAGTCTTTTCTGCTTCCAGAACTTTTTTTGGTTGGGAGCAGTCTTTTTTCTTAAAACTCAGTAAACCTCAGCAATAAGCAAATGAAAGGTCACCGGCCTAATGTTGGTCACACTAGCAACAAAAACATTTGGTAGTTTTGGCTCCCCTTCAAACTTCAAAATTTTTAAAATTTTGGCCCCAGTCAGTGTTGTCTAGATATGCGGCTGGTCTTTTCATCTAGCTTATTCTAATGTTCAAAAACTCTGGAGCTAAAATATTTCCTCTTCATTGCTTTTATTTTTTCTTGAAATAGATTGTACTTGTGACCTCTTGTGCTACAGCTTGTTTGTTATGATTTTGTACGTCTGAATCAGATCTTCTTTGATCATGCGTTTAACTAAAATTGTCAATCCACAGTTTGGCAATCTTACTTCATATGAAAGTCTTTCGTAACTCTTAATCATCAGTGTTACACGTCTCTAGACATTTTCTAACAATTTCTTGTCTTTTGGCCAGTAATGGCTCCATGCTTGTGTGCAATACCCTACTTGTACCAAACTTTTTTACTGGTTTAACACTATCGACCAAAGTCTTTTACTGGTTTAACCCTATTTAACACTCTTATTTGCCTATTTGTCGCTTCTATGCAATGTTTTAAAAAAAAAACCTCCTCTTGTGTGCACAATTTCTCTAAGATTCTTTTCATTGAACTTTCAAAGATCTGTCTTCAAAATTTACTAAATTTTTCTTGTTTTTGATTCATATATGCACGAAAAACATTTGTCTGTGTTAAGCTTCCTCTGCCAATCTTTCGACTATTGATGAAATTCTTGTAGAACCTCTTGCAGTTTTTCCACGTCCCTCTTATCGTTACCTGTTAGAGTACAGAGCTTGATATCATCAGCAAATTTGACTATTTTAGAAAAATCCCACCATCGATATCGTTAATGAAAATAATAAACAATAGTAGCTCCAAAACTGAACCATGAAATACACCACTTGCGACATTGACCCATTTCAAAAATGTTCTTCTGATAACCACTCTTTTGGTCTCCTAATTACAGCTCGGAGTTTGCTGGAGTTAAGCGTGGGCGTCTTACAAATTCACTTCCATGTTAGCCGAGACACAGGAAATATAAACAAATGCAATTGCATTCACTATACAAAACAAGCACTCGAGCGTGCAAATGAACAGCGAAGTGTGAGCAGTGGCATATGTAAAATGTCAACCGACGTAATTGAGTCTGCGTATGTTTGAGTTTGTGTCTGTAACATGCTGTAAGAGCTTGTGTCTGTACGATGCTCTGAGATGACTTGTCGTGCTAAGGAAATGCGAATATACATAGCAAATTTTTATAAGCACGCATGTCAGAGGGAGCAGGATAATGACTTACTTGCATGGAGAAACACGACCGAACGTATAACACAACCCGCCGCACATCTATAAATATTTTCAAGCATTCGGGCATCCGTATCAAAAAATTGCATTAGGGTATCAGAGCATAGTGTAGCATACTTTACTATGAATCACAAGAAGCCAGGTTATAAACGTTGAGTATGCATTGTACGCTGTGAGAAATTGCAGATGTGTTTACGTACGAGTTGGTGGTTGGTGTTGTACAAATTGTTCACGACACAAAAAGTGTTTGTACAAGTTGTGTGCATAGCAAAGAAGGTACAACTCAAGTTTCACACATGATTTTCCTCGATACATCTACATATGCGAGTTTGTTTTTAAATCAGATTCCAAGTTTTTTCCGATAAATTATTGTTTGAAAACACCAAAACCAACATCGTTAATAATCCAAGAAATGAATAAGTTGATGTTTTATTTATTCTTTCTGATGTAGCCAACTACCATGGTGGAAAGTAGAAGTAGAAACAAGGCGAAAAATTATTTTTTTTACTTTTTGTTCAAATAAATTAGTTAAAACTATTCCCAAATGTGAACCAAATGTTTAAAATCCCCAACACCGATAATGTCGATGTCATATCGTCCGGCTGCACTTCTGATGTTTTTACCAATTTTAATGGCACGTCTTTTTCACCTGCCAAGGTTTTACGGATTTTTAGATAAATTGAAACAATATATGTAAAAATGAATGAAAGTGGTTCTGTTTCAAATAGTTTTTCAAATTAATAATAAAATATTGATGAACATGGTTTTTCCTAAATAAATTTTTTTAAAACATCGTGACTAAATGGTTTTTCCTCCACTTCATGAAGAGTCGTTAAATGTGGATATCATTCTAGATTCTGAAACTCAAAACTTGAGTGGCAATTCAGCGTAGACGGTAATAGTAATGTAATGTAAGGAAGCTGCAGTTGCGTTCAAATGTTGGATCCTCCAAAATCATTTGGGCCGTGCCTGGGTCGGAGTGCTCGCAAGTACAAACAGATGAATGTAAACGTCTTGTGTGCGTGTGTGTGTGCGTGTGTGTGTGTGTGTGTGTGTGTGCGTGTGTGTGTATTTGTGTGTAGATGCTCGAACTACGAGCTACTGTGTCAACTTGAATCTTTATGAATAAGAGAACATTTGTAAGCAGTTCACAGCATGGCAAAGAACAAAATTTAAATCAATAATTCCTACCTTCAAAAAGACGAAATACTAAATTGTGGAGTGTTAAGTTTTTTTAATTGAACGTTCTAAAATACTTTTTGCAATAAAATTCAATTCATGTGATACTTTAACATTGTGTCAATACATAAAACTAACTCATATAAAAGTTTTATCACTGATTCGAACTTCTTGATTGATTTTGGTTTATTATCCAATGTTTGTCAACATATAACAATGCGCACGTGTGCACTGTACGTGAATATTTTTTAAAATTCTATGCTTCGATTTTGCCGTCACATTTGTTTTGTAATTTCTACTATATCCTTTAATCTGGAAATACGAACAATTTTTAATTGTTTTAAATTTATTTTAAAAAAGAGTTCAAATTGTTAACATGCATTTTTATAAGTTTTATTTTACAAAAACAATTTTTAAAATTCTGTTGAAAAATTCCTGGAAGACAAAGAATCGAAACTGAACTGATGCAAAAACAATCTTGAAATATGAGATTGCCAACCAAAATTAAGCCATCATTTGGAAGAAAATTTTTTTTTATTATTTTATACAACGATAAACAATGATATTCAAAATAAATCTGTCGAATACTGCAAGTACATTGTGTTACCTATCAAAATTTTGCCTACCTCACGTGGATTTTTTTTTTTATTGAACATGGGCTATAGCATTTGAACTTGAGGTTGAATGGCAAGCCTTTTCTTTGTTAGATAATTCCCCAAACTAAAATCGAGATGCCACTGTATAGCAAGAACAGAATAGCTATCTAGTTGATAACTATGTTTTATTTAAAAACTTTTGGAACCAGACAAACATCAATTTCGAAAAAACTAACACTAATAAGACTGAATATCACAGAAAAATAAGATTAGAAATAATCGAGATCGCCACGTCTTGCTTGATGACACCCGTGGAAAAAGATAGCGAATGTATGACGTCAATACAGCTGTTGCTTATAAGTGGAGTTTATAATTGGAAGATTGCAACAAGACACCCATAGATCTTTATTATATATATATATGTATATATATATATATATATATATATATATATATATATATATATATATATATATAGAAAGAGAAAGAAAGAGTAAGAGAGGGGGAGAGAGCATTGCACCACACAACAAATTAAGCTGGTCTACGTAAATCTAAATTTGACAATATGATTAACTCATGTAGTAATTAGAATAAATACAAACAACAAATAATACAACCAATTTTATTTGCTTCAAGTTTTTAAAATCTTAATAGTTTTTTTTGTCAAAATAATTTCAAATGACCGATCTATCAAATATAAATAATAAGCAGAGTAGTTAAAATTGCATCAGAGACACATATTTCAAAAGGTTGCTGCTATTTTGATAATTGAAAGAAGAAAACTTTACTTTTGAAAAATTTTGTGTATTTGAGCGCGTTTGTGTGTGTGTGTGTATATTTGTATCGTGAAAATTTGTCACAATGGTTAGTGGCTTGTGACTGTTAAGCACTGCTTCATAAATAGACATGGTTGAGAATGGAAAACCCACAAAATTTTTCAGAACAAACTTTAGCCATTAAACGGTGTATAATACTAATTAGGTCCCAACTATCTGCTCAACATGAATGAATGTATAAATGAATGGATACTAAATTGTGCATAGAAGAAAATTTACTCAGAAGAAGAAAGGAGTGTTGTAAATGTAATAATGAATAGAGCAGATTTAGAAAAATGTTTCTCGCAATAAATCATATCTAATTCTCTGAAGAGAGCCGTGCGCCAGTTTCCACGTCATGTTTTTTTGTTAAACTTTGTTTTAACCTCAATTTATTTATTTTTTATTTTTTTTATATTTATGCTATGGTTATTCTTTCAATCATTTTTTTAAAGATGTCCCGTTTAATTGTTCTTTCAGAAGAGCAGCGGAAAAAAAAAGTTTTGAAAAGTAGGTTGAATAAGCAAGTCAGCTTTTGAGGGTAACAAACATTTTGATAGATGCAACCACAGCGCAAGGAATGTTTTTAACGAGCTCCATTTTTCAAGATATTTATTCACATGTAGTAAGGAAGGGGTAGGCCTGGGCACACATTTGTTGCACTTTCATTTGGTTATCTTGCAAAAAAATAACCCCTACAAAAAATAAACCCTGGCATTTTGAAACCAAAACTGCTCAGTATTCTTTTTTTATTGGCTTATAGATAACAATAAAAACAAGTTAAACAAAGTTTACATTTTTAATAATCGATTTTTATATTTGTTTTCTAGGAATGTTTGTTGAATTGATATGTTTTGAAAAAAATCTAAAGAGGAGTGATATCTAACTATTATGTGAAATTATGATTAGGATTTCATACTATGCTAATTCACTAACAGTTTTCTGTTTCATTTTTATGAAACAGAATTTCATTTAAAATTTCATTTTTAATAATTTATTCGTAAAATGAAGAAAGTTACAGTAAGAAAATTTTGAATTGAATTCAAAACTTTTGAAATTAGGAATAAATTATTTTTTGACGGAAATTAAAATTTGTTGTCGCTTCTGTTGCCAGACACGCAAATATGCACAAGTCAGCATGCGCCAGACGCAGAAGAAACATGAAACGCAGTATTTTAAATTGAGTGTTTTTTTTTCTATTTATATTACAAATTAAATAATTTAAACTATTTCGAAATAAATTCCAAATTAATTTTCTTTGCAAGTTCTAAATAAAAATATTTTTTGTTAACATTTAAATTTCTTTTAACATTTTTTTAACATTTGTTAACATTTAAAATTTTTATTGCATTGCTATCCAAAGCAGATTGTTCAAAAAAGGATTTCAAATGTCGTTGAAAATAGAATGACATTCACTATCATTCAATGCACCTACAACATGGCATACGCTCATGGCATTTTTAACTAAAAATTTGACAATAATACAAACAGAAAATTTTTGTTAATTAAAAATTTCGATAAACAAGCAAAGCAAGTAATCCATGACAACCGCTTGAGAAATAAACAAGCCGAACTCTTCATTAACACCCTTTTCAAATTCTTCAGACTGACTTGAAAGCAGTTGGTGCATCTGGGGATTGAATGTTTACTTCAACGGTAAATTTTAATACAGGAATGGTGATAATAGAAAATGGTGTTCAGTGCATTTACTTAATGGTTTGAAATAACATTCTTAATAAAAAACGTAGAATAAAATTTTACTAGTGAACATGGTTGTTAAAAATAGTAGTTACTTGCATCATCAAACAAAACCCTTTTGCAAATTTAACTTGAGATTTGATTTTTCATTAAATTTGGCTTTAAAACTACCAAAATTTTACTACATCAGTTCTACTCCTCTTGCCTGCCGAATAAGATCTAATAATGATCTGTTGCTGGCCGCTGCAGACAACTTCAACAATAAGGTCAAAAATTCAATATACACAAAATTGAAAATTGGACGGCAAAATTTCTATAATATGATAATGAAGCGTATAGGTCTAATTTCGATTTTACTTATCTTCAGTGCTTATATAGGAATATTTCAAAGTTTTACAATTCTCCGTGTGTGCAAAGTTCTATCATTCTGATTTGTCCTATTCGTTTATTATATCTTGGTATATTATATCAATCAATCAATCAATCAATCAATCAATCAATCAATCAATCAATCAATCAATCAATCAATCAATCAATCAATCAATCAATCAATCAATCATCGTTTAGCGTCCAGAGACCCAGTTCTCCCAAGGTAGGACGTTGGTATATTATATCTATTTATTATATCTTGGTCTTGTCCATTTATTTTTTTTATTTTCTGTTCATTCTCTTTGCTTGTAAAATTTTCAATTAAATTCTTCTGGCCGGTAATGATGTTGCTATTTTTGCTGCTTGTTATTATGTGGTTGTCTTCGGTCAATGAAGATCGTTTTTGTGGTTCTTGTTACCGTATATTATACTAGTAATATTTACTAATATCTCTCAATGAGTTCTAATGACTCTTTCTCTTCTGTGCATAGTAAGGCAACGTGTTAGAGATGTCGTTGTCATTCCAACATATGAGTGTGGTTGGCGAGTGCATCCGTCAAGAAAGCATTTAAACTCATATATCAGGTGCAGAGCTGACCATGGGTCAATGGTTCAGGGTCAGATGGGTTGTTGTTTTTGGATGGGTCATGGGTCAGAACCTTTGACCCACTGACCCATATTGATATCTCACACAAAATCTACTTTTGTATGGTTTCAAGTTCAAAATATAGGTGTCAACAAAGCAACGAAATCTATTAATTTAAAACCTCTGAAGCAGAGAACAAATGATGAAAGTAAGCAATATAATGCTGAATGCACCTATTTCACATTAGGTTCAGAGGAGAAAAATGTATTCAATCCATCATCATGGTGGAAGGAGAATGCAGCAGAATTTCCAATATTATCTGGCATTGCACGGCGCCTTTTGTAACTACTGCATCGTCTGCTGAGTGTGAAAGCCATTTCAGCGCATACAATGCCAGGAACATCATCACTGCACAGCGTAATGGGATGTACCCAGAAACTGTGCAAGCCATTTTTTTAACTTGAAACTTATAAGAACAAGATTATTTAACTCTTGAAAAGATTTTTTTCATGTTTAAAGTATAATTAAACAGTTTTTTAAGTCATTAAACCGTATCAGAATAATAGTCAATTTTTTTTACTGAATGTTTGTTCAAATTTTGAATTGACTGTCATCAATGTCTTTCTACTTCGTCGTTGCAATCATTGAGATTTTTGACTTTTTGCAGCTTATGTTTGCTGTTATTAAAAATGATGTAAAAAGTAACACCATCAATTATTTGTATTTTTATACTTTACAAATATGGAATGGGTCATAGGTTAAATATTGATGTGTCACTTGGGTCATGGGTCAAAACTGTTGACCCATGGTCAGCTCTGATCAGGTGATTTCTTTCCAGGGTTGAATTTTGTGGAGGCGTGCAATTATTTTTCATTATGAGGTTGGCTGTTTTTCCATTTTGGTAATAAATTCTCAAATTTTCTCTATCGTCTTTGTTTCTTGGCTTCACGTTTTTGAAAATAATTTTCTTTAGGACAGATTCGTCTGTTTTAATGCAAATAACATGTAGATTTTGTAGTATGAAATTATATTCTCGCCTTGTTTGTTGTTGTTATTATTGAACTGTTGCAGCTTACGGTTGATGGTATCTTTTATGGTATCTCTGTTGTAGTTGTTATTGACTAGAACTTTGGTGCATCTAATTAATTCAACTTCGCGTTCGCTTTATAAAGTGGAGTGTGTGAATCCTTCATTAACAAATGCTTCTACTGTGCTGCGTTTATATTTTTCCGTGCCCTCACTTATCCCTAATCCACGTTCAGATATATCTCTTTGTTTGTTTCTTTCACATAAACCGTTGTTTTGAAGCAGTTTTCATCTCGAGTTATTAGCACATCCAAAAATGGTAAAGTCTTGTTATTTTCTTATTCTATATTAATTTTTATTTCAGATTTATTAAGAATAGAAGAAAGATTTTTTGTTTTGTCAGGGTTGTCCACGTATTTTGCATAAATTTGTGGTTTTAGTTCAAAATTTTTAAGGAAAGCCTGTTTTTCTAAGTTGCAACGTAGAAATTGGCAAAGGGTTTCCCACTTGGTACTCCCTTTGCAGATTCAATCTATTTGTTTGTACATTTTTCCCATGTGACTATTTAACGGTGCTTCGGTTGTACATATTGTCAATAACGATTTTGGTAAGGGTTTTGGTATTTTTAAAGGATTCATGTGGGAGTTTTATACCGTTTTAAAGGTGATACCATTTGTGTCGAGAACGGGTACATTTGTGAATAAGGATACCGAGATGTCTGTAGATTGTAGTCATTTGGAGGATATGGTGACAATATTTTGTTCAAATATTTGGTGATAGGGTATCTGGCTAATAATTGGATGGCGGAGATTATTCTCCTTGTGGGTCTTTACGTTTCTGCATAGATAGCCCGTTGAGCAGGGCCGGCTTTTGGCATAGAAAAACAAGTCAGTCACCTAGGGCTTCC